CCACCCCCGGCCCGCCGACTGCATGTTGTACCCTTCAGCAGTTTTGCGGTCCCGACGAGCGTGGGCGTGTGGGCGAGCAGACGGCGGGCGCGCTGCGCGGGCGGGGAAAACCCGCAACGCCCGAGTCCGACGGTGTGTTTCGTGTGCTTACGAATCCACCTGACCTAAGCCCCACCCCGTGACTAACCACCGGAGCGGCTGCTGGCAGTGACGCGTGACCTGGCACGGTGGCGTAGGGTAGGGTAGCGTGGGTTTAATGGTACCGGAAATGCCTTTACACCATTCACCCCCCCCCCTCCCCCACACACACATCGCGACCGTACTCCCCATCAATGTTTGATGATCAAACTCGCTAATTAATCGCCGTCCAGACAAATTCTTTTTTCATGACGCCGTGTGTTTCGTGCGCGGCTATTTCGTTAAAAATGCATCCGGTCGGTTTGCGATGGTTGCGCCCACGACAGGATGAGGGAGGGGTCTCCAGCCAGCAGCCCACGCGAAGTTCCAATGGCGCCCGGCCCCAGCTGTTTTGCTGGAAGACGTAGGAGTCGTAGTTCCGCGTAGTTCATTAACAGCGCGGCCGGGCCTGCGGGGTCTTCGCGTCACGGAGGTCCTCTCTCCCCTTCGCCCCCCTCTTCTCCCCCCGCGCCCTTCCCGCGCGCCCGTTTAAAGGCGTTAAAGTGGGCGTGTTTCCCTGTGAAAAAGGAGGAAATTGGAAGCCCCGCGCGCGCCGCTCCAGGCCCGCCCCCTCCTCGAAGTGGTGGCGCACCAGCGTCCTCCTTAAAGTGCGTGCGGAAACGGAGGGGGGGGGAGGGGGCGGTGGAATGAGTTACGGGCCTCCGGGTGAGAAATGTTGTTATTATCGCCCGGCCCCAGCGTCCACCGCCCCGCCGCGCAGCGCCGCCCGCACCACCAGCGGGGTGGTGGTGGCGTGTCTCTGAAGACGCCCTTGAACTCGACCTCATCCCCCGCTCCTGCTGCTGCGTCTTGCTGCATGCTGCGTCCTCATCTCCGCCAATGCAGTGCCTCGGGTGGATCCTCTGGTTTTTGTCGCCGACGCCGACACGCCGTCGACGACGCCACCGCGAGCGTCCCCCCTAGGAGGGGGGTCGGGTGTGGCGGGCAAGAAAACCTCCGCGTGACAAAGTGCCGGCGGTCGCTCATTTGACGCGAGACAGATGCGCTCCGCGACAGCAGCAGCAGGACCTACGCGTCTCCGTTGCGACCGACCGTGCTCCAGCCCCGCAGCCCCGCCACCAGGCCCCGTAGCCCCGAGGGGGGTTCCCGGTCATTTTTCCCATGAGGGGTAACGCTCTATCAAGCGCTCACTGATTTGTCTGTTTTTCATGATTTCTTCATATTTTTCCGATTTTTAGTATCGATTTTCCCTTGGTTTCCCTAATCTTTCTTTCTTTTTTTGACGCCCCTCTAACCACATCTTTTCTTGTCTCTGGTGCGCAGTGATACCCCGACACCTGTACATCGCCAACCTGGCGGCGGCCGACGTCCTCATCTGCGTGCTGGCGCTGCCGGGGACGCTGTGGTGGCTGGCGCACGACTGGTCCGGCCTCGGCGGGGGCCCTGGTGGCGGTGGGGCGGCGACGACGGCGGCGAGCGTGGCGCTGTGCCGCGGGCTGCCGGCGCTGCAGTGCGCGTGCGCTGGCGCGGCCGCCGGCACCGTGGCCGCCATCGCCCTGGACCGCTACCGCGCCATCGTGACCCGCGCCCACGACGCCAGCAGCTCGCGCCGCGCCGTGCCCCGGGTCATCGCCACCATCTGGGCCGCGGCCTGCGCGCTCGCCGCGCCCCTCGTCGCCTTCCACGTAAGTCTGCAGGGAACACATTACTTGAGACGAGTCCTGGCATCGCTTACCGTGTCAGCGCCGTCGGCTTTCTTAACGTTCTCCGCCTGCTCACGCCTTTCTCCCTGTGTGTCTCCAGGACGTGACCGACGTGGACGGCGTGCCGCGGTGCGTGGCGCAGTGGCCCGCGCCCGCGCCCGCCTGGCGCCTCTCGTACGCGTGCGTGCGCGCCGTGCTGCACTTCCTGCTGCCCGCGCTCTCGCTGTGCGTCGTGCACACCCGCATCTCGGCCTACCTGCACTCGCGGCCCATGCAGTGGCGCCGGCGCCGCAGCCGCCGCACCGCGCTCGTCCTCGGCACCGTGGCGGCCGTCTTCACCTTCAGGTGAGGGCAAGCAAAGGGGGCTGACGCAGATGGTGTGACCATCGCCCTTTCAATAGTTGCGAGAGAAGATGGGAAAAAAGTCGGAGGGGGGGGGTAGAAATGTCCTCTCAGAAATTCTAGACGTGTGAGGCTGCGCGCCGGCTGCGCCTGCTCGGCGGCGCGGGTGGCGGGTCGCCAGAGTTCACATGTTAAACAGCACCCCGGCGGCCCCCATTCCGCCCGGCGGCCCCCGACTGACTCGACTCGATTTCCTCCTTTTGTCTGTGTTTGGCCTGGCGCCCCGGGTCGGGGGCGGCGCGGCGCAGCCAGACTTTCACTTGCACCCTCGCCCACCTCCCCTCGCCGGGCCATGACTTTCGCTCTTCACTAGAATACCCTTCTGTGGCTGCCTCGGGTCGATCGTTGAGGTAGCGCGGCGGCGGGGCGTGGGCGGGGGCGGCCGACTGCAGGGCCTGTCTGTACCCGCCCCTGCGAGACAGCCGCACTCACACCAACACACACACACACCACCACACTCACACATGCGCGCTCACGCTCGACTCCCACATACAGGACTACGAGATTGCCACAGGCGGGTCCAAACGCGGATGGATTTGCCAGTCGGGGACTTTATTCCCCCGGCTCTATACACTGCCGAGCGGGCCCGGGGGGAAAGGGAAGAGGGGGGATGATATATCGCACAGCACAGCCGACTACGTCTAGACAACATCCATTGGCTGAAACCAAAACGACTGGAGTTTTGTCGGACAGGGGGTGGTGAGGGGGAGGGAATAGTAGTTGTTGAATGTGTTCGGCTCTAGGCGGTTTAACGGATGGCGCTTGTGGAACTGACAAGCCTGTCTGAGACCCCCTCGTGCCTCCCCCTAATATGGATCATTCAGAAAGTACGTCCGTCACTCGTCGTTGCGAACCTGCGAAATTCAGTTCATGCAAGCTCGCATGGCGCCTGATGGGTAGGCAACACCTTGCGTGTAGTGCATGCGTGTACCGCGGGGTGGCCTACCCTAAGCCTCGCAGGCGCCGAGCTCCCTTAATCTCTGAAAAGCGGGCGTCATTTCTGGATGATCCCCAAACCGAACACCCATCGGTCGGTCGTGTCTGAAGCTAACCCTTTGTCGTCCGATGTCACAGTTGGCTGCCGCTTACGGCCTTCCAGCTGCTCGTCAACAACCCCGGCCAGCACCGCGTCATGTTCGCCTGCTGCCATCTGCTTGCCATGAGCTCCACGCTTTCCAACCCGCTGCTGTACGGCTGGCTCAACTCGCACTTCAGGAGGGAGATCCGCGCCATGCTGCCGTGCTGCTGCGCGCCGGGCAAGGACCGGCACCACCGCACCGTCTGCAAGGGTGAGTAGGGGGCAGTGACGTGACGGGACGTGTCGTGTCACGTCGACGACGATGACGATTCGACGACGTGACTAAGTGGTGACGATGTGACGAAGTTATGACATGTGAGGAAGTAATGACGACGTGATGAAGGATGAAGTAAGGGGTCTTCCCCATACCACGTGAATTTTACGGGGGTACAAATATTATGGGGTCGTTCCTGATCTTTTTGGGACCCCAATATTTGTACTCCCCTTAAAGTCATGTGGTATGTGTACCCAAATGTACCCCAAATGAAATGACGACGAGTCAACGATGTGACGAAGTGACGACGACATGACGACAACAGAGATGGTGTTGAATTTGATCGTGACATGACGATAATGACGACCTCCTGTTGCAGCTTGTCGCGCGAGGCAGGAGCGGGCGCTGGCCAAGGAGCTGGAGGGCCGCACGGAGCCCCTGCTGGTGGCGGCGGCGGTCGCGGGCGCCGGGGGCGGCGCGGCCAGCGTCGGGCTGCGGCCGCTAGGAGGCGGCGGCGCCGGCGTGCAGGGCCTGCTGGGCCAGCGGCAGGCGTTCTGTCGGTCGTGCTGGCGGTGCGCGGGCGCCGGGGGACGCGGCGGCGGCGGCGGTGGCGGCCAGCTGCGCGGCACGCGCGGCGCGCGCCACCTGTTCCAGCTGCAGCTGCCCGACCAGCCCGACCGGCGCGGCTCGCTCACGTTCCTCACCTCGCTGACGGCGCGCCACTCCATCACGCTTCTGACGCACCTGTCGGGGGGCACGACGGGCACCACCACCACCAGCTCCAGGCTGGACATACTCTGAGCGACGCGACTCGACGCGTGAGATCACTGGTGAAAAGTAAAAAGGGCGTAAGTTCAATGCAAAGTCCGTGGACTTACGCCCTTTTCACTTTCTATTACCAGTGAGATAGGCGGTCGTCGGTCCGCACCCGGTGCGGGCGGCGATGTGTGATGATTGTGATGTCAACTGTGAAGGAAAAAATCTGTGATGGTATCTTAAGCGTAGTGACGTTTCGTTCAATGAGGTTTATCTTGTAAACGGTTAAGGTTTTGACCATCAAATGGCCCAAATGTTCCTTAAGCAGTAACTTTATTCGGTTTAGTATAAATCTGTCGTGTGTTGGGATCGACTGTCGCGAGAGGTAAAGGGAGTTCCCATCGATAAAGTGCCATATTTGCACGAACGTGAAGGAGTTACTGATTGCTTCATTTCCCTAGTAGAAAAATAAGTCTATAAAGCAAAATAATTGTGTATTGCAGCAACGCTAAGATCGTTAATGTGTTGTCTGCTGTACAGTACAATTGTGATAAATTATACTTGTAAGTTAGATAAGTCCATGCTCTTTTTTCTGTTGGCCCGTCGCATTCTTCAACGAGCCAGTGTTAAATATATTCTATGTGATTGTTCTGAATGGAAAAGATTATTACTTAATGTTAATTGTTAAATTTGGAATTCTTCGGACAGGAGTTTTAAAATCGGAACACCAAATAGGGACCAAAACGAGCATTTAGAATCCTTCGCACCTCAAAATTACCTATCTTTAAACAAACTTCAGGCGTTGATGAATATGACGGGCGTCATAGCATACAAGACTATGTAGGTATTTATTCGTGCCTAAACGAACCTTCTATATGTTTCAGTTAAATATGTTTGAAACAGTTAATTTCACTTAATATTCTGACCTTGTTGTTAGAAGACCATATAAATTAAATTACTTGACTGGATAATACCGATGGAACAAATAATTCTGGGACTTTATCTCATCTCTACTGAAGAAATTAAGCCAACGACACACTGCCAAAATAATATTATCAAATGATATACCAGACTACTCCCTACTCGATTTAAATAAAAGCAGTCAATCCTAACACATCTTCATAGAATCAACTGACTTCTGTAAACATGTATAAATGGTATAAACTAGTGCAACGTGCAGGTTGGTAAAGAGAAACTATCATTGAAAGTCTGATGTGAAGTCATAAAAAGACAATGTGATGTGATTAAGATAAGAGGGCGAAACAAAGCCCTGGCGCCCTGTACTACTTTGTATAAATACTTCCTGCTTTTATAGATTTTATACAGAGATACTTTTTTACATATATTTAGCTAAATATCTGATTGAGCATATTCAGGAGGAGTTAAGAACTCCCCCTGCATCTTTTAGTACATCTTCGACAGTGTAGGCCATCGTATCGTATTTGAATGTCATGATAACCCATAAATATTTATTGCATGTAGAATCTTCACGAGACAAGTAGCATACAGCGCATTTCTCCACTCTCACTTTGGAACTGCACTCGGGTCGACCGTAATGTAAGACGGATAAGATGGAAATGAAGTACGTTGGTGAGCAGGGCAGGGATCGATCGATCACATACTGTAAATACATTCTTACTCTGCGGGCATTTCTTGTTGTAAACCCCAAGCGCCTTCGGGCGACGACGAGTCGACGCCTCCTTAGGAGGCGCAACCGAACGCGGAGGGCGCTGCTATACGCCTGCGCTGTAAAAAAGAACATACTAATTATGATTCAAACCTTATCGCAATGTGTCAAACCTGTATTAATGACGAAATAAAAGACTGTCTCCGGACAGCAACGCCAGATAATATGCTTCGTAATTATTCTCCGACTCATTCCTCGCCACACGACGTCGTCGCGCGGCTGACAGAGGCACGGCCGCCATCCTGAAGGGTAGGCAGCACATCCGACGCGGGACTCGTGCGGGTGGCCTACGCCGCGCAGCCCAGGAGACTCGCGCGAGCCGCTTCGCCTGTACTACAGGAGGCACGAAGAGGTTCAGACGGTGACGACCCGGCGGGCCGTCGAAGTGTTGTTTAAGTGAGCAGCGCAGACGCAGACAGCGTGTGACCCGAGGGTCCACCGCATTCTTCGAAAAACCGCGCACAGGGATTATAATCAGTCCATGACTATCGTGATTTATCACTGATTGTTCAAGATCATCTCGGGCCTTTTCGGTGATTATTGGCTAATTATCGCACGACTATGGATAATTAACCGTCAGTCCATTTAATTAATTTCAAAAGTAAATTTTGCTGCCTATTCTCAAAATTTACTGAATTATTGAAACTTTTTTTTATTGAACCTTTTAGGTGATTATCTAGGGGAGTGTACGCGGATTGTGTAGACCCTTATTCACTTGAACGCAAATGACTGAACACATATTCGGTCGCACTGGCGTTACTTGGAACGGGTCGCGCCGGCTGTCGGGTGGTGGGGCCTAGAGTAACGCGCACTCGTCCAGTGTCACGTTGGTCACGTCTCGAGCTGCGCGTGGTGGTGGGGTCTTGGAGGGGGGAGG